CAAGGCCAGACATGCTGCCTCCCTCCAGCCCTTTCACCAACTGTTCCTCCCAAAGCACCACCACCTCTCCTGGGTTCCATGATTCACTGCAGTGGCCACACAGAACTCACAGATTATGACATTTATTAGGGAAGCACCAGGTTACACTTCAAGTTCAAGAAAAACGCTCAGTCTCTCTCCCAGCCCACTGTCTCTCAGCCAAGTCTCTCACAGTGTCTCCCCCAGCAGTGCATGTCCCTCGGTGTCTTACTCAGCAATGCGTCTCTCTTACGTCTCTTTCCCAGCAGCACTGTGTCTCTTTCAGTAGTGTGTGTCTCTTTCAGCAGTGTGTGTCTCTTTCAGCAGCATGTCTTCCTCAACCAGCAGTCAGAGACAGTTCTGCCTCTAGGAGGCCTTTTGAACTTGGCAGAGTGGTCAAACCAACCAATCATAACAGAATTCTAAGCACCTGAGAGTGAGCCTCCCATAACATTGCGTTGTGCCACGCCCAACAGAAATAACCCAGGTGGATGACATTTACAATCAGGAGCTCCTCAGTTGCTCGTTCCACCACTGAGTTTACAATGACTTATGGGTAGAAAAGCCATACTAAGTCATTTACTACACTGCAATTACCAAAAACCAAACTCACTGCCAATGAGTCAATTCGACTCATAGCGACCCCTCCTTGAGCTTCTGAGGCGATACCTCTATGAAAGTAGACTACCCAACCTTCTGAGGAGTGGCTGGTGGGTGTGAACCGCCAGCCTTCTGGTTAGCAGTCAGATAGATGCCTTGGGAACTATACCACCAGAGCTCCCGCAAGTAAATTAGACATTCTATATTTATAATAATAAAGAAAAGAAATATAAGTCTTACATGCAAAGAAAAGTTTTAATTACTCAATCCTTTTTACATGTAAGAAATAAAATCAACCTGGTTATAATTTATTTATATATATATATTTTGACTCACATTTTTTAGAGATTAAAGTAATGAATCAAAATAATCTAACTTTTTATTAAAGATTATTTGTTAATTTCTAATGTTAACTGCATTAGTAATCTTGAAAACTACTATTTACAACCCTGCTCCAACTGCAAATTTAGTGTATATTAATACAGGCAATACCTGATCGCTTCTAGAGACAATGATATCTCTGAAGCATACAACTGTTTTCAAAAGGAATCCTCAATCATTTTTCTTCCTTTGCTCACTTTTCACACAGAAGAACCCACATTCAGAATATTCTATCACAAATTTGCTAAGAAACAGACGTTACCATTTATTACAAAGGATCAATAGATTTCTCTTTATTCTGCTTCACAGGGACAAGTTACATTTCCACTAAATGAGTGCTGGGTGAGTTAACTTGAGCTACTCGGTAGGGCATGAAGCTACAATAAGGCTAAATCGACCATTTGATCTCTGATCCCACTGATTAACTTCTGCCTTTTGCAGGGTCACAGGCAACATCAAAATCCTTACTGTTCAGTTCTTTGGTCACAAGAAGAGACAGCCAAATGTACTGCTGGCTCAGCACAAATCCACCATCATGATGTTGTACTTATCACCTAAACTACAAAATTCCAAGCTGTCTTCCTTCAACAGATCATCGATAATACACTTACCAGATCCAAAAATCTAAGAAGTGTAAAATCTACTTCAAATGCTAAATTTTAGAAATAAGATACTTTTAAATTTAAATCCCTTTCTATCAAATCAATATTTATACAATGAGTTTAAAAATGTCACCACACTAATTTTTGTATCAAATATAAAAAGACAACAATCACTGATTCTTTTAACTTTTTGGCTTTATTAATCCATGTACTTTCACCTTTATGCAGCAATTGTAAGAAACACAAATGTGTTTATTACTGATTGGTGATAACTACATTCAATCACCTTTCCATCTTCAATTTCTCTTCTGACTACAATTCTTTCCCACAATTTTTTGCATGAGCCAAAGGAATTACCACTTCAATCCTTTAGGTTTTGCCATTCTTCTTCTTGTTGTTGTTATTTGCCATGGAGTTGGACTCGACTCATAGCGACCCCTCCTTGGGTTTCCGAGGCAGTATCACAACTGAAGTAGATTGCTCAACCTTCCTTCCGAGGAGTGGCTGGTGGGTTTGAACCACCAGCCTTCTGGTTAGCAGTCAAGTGCCTTAGCCACTATGTTACCAGAGCTCCCATCCTAGAGATGGTGAATTCCTGAGACTGGGATAACTTCCAAAGTTCTTCACACCTGCAGCCTATTAAAGAATATAAATCACCAAACTATGTTATTAATTGGCTCATAGATTGGCCTCTCCTAAAAATTAAAATGTAAACCTCAGTAGGCACTAGGTATAAAGTTCCTTGGTGGCACAAGTGCTTTGGGCTCAACAACTGACTTAAAGGTTGGAGGTTTGAACCCACCCAACGATGTCAAGGAAAAAGGGCCTGGTGATCTTCAGAAAAGACTACAGCCAAGAAAACCCTCTGGAGCTGTTCAACCCAGCAACACATGAAGTCACCATGAGGGATAACCAACTAGATGGCAGGGTTTTTTCTAGGCACTCAATGGACACAATGCCCAGCACAACATTCAAATACTTTTAGTAAAAAAGACAGAAACTGAACCTTTGAATCTCTCCTATCTGACTCAGAATCAGTAACCAAAAAGCAAACCCACTGCCACTGAGTCCATTCCAACTCACAGCGATCCTACACGATAGAGCAGAACAAGCCCGGAGGGTTTCCAAGGCTACAAATCTTCACAGATGCAGACTATCTAATCTTTTTCACAAGAGTGGTTGGTGGGTTCCAACCGCCTACCTTTCTGGTTAGCAGTCCAGTACTTTAACCACAGCGCCACCAGAGGTCCTTGGTAATAACAGTAACCACCCCAAAACCAAACTCACTGCCATGAAGTGGATTCTGACTCACGGCGACTCCCATTGGGTTTTCAAGGCTGTAAATCTTTATGGAAGCCTACAGCCTCATGTTTCTTCAGCAAAGCAGCTAACCACCACCATCCCCCCCCCCAAAAAAAAAACCAACCTCACTGCTGTCCAGTCGTTTTCCAACTCAAAGCTACTCTCCTTGGGTTTCCAAGGAGGTATCACTATGGAAGTAGATGGCCCAATATGTCTTCCGAGGAGCAGCTGGTAGGTTTGAACTGCCAAGCTTGTGGTTAGCAGTCAAGCGTCTTAGGTACTACATTACCAGAGCTCCTACAACAGAGCAGCTGGTGGGTTCCAAGCACCCTTTTGGTTAGCAGCTAAATGTCTTAACCACTATGCCACCAGAGTTCCTTTACTATCAGTAAAAACCAAAAACAAACCAAATCCACTGCCATTTTGACTCATAGCGACCCCCACTGGGTTTCCAAGAGGGTAAATCTTTACTGAAGTAGCTTGCTCAGACTTGCTTCCAAAAAGTGGCTGGGGGGTTTGAACAATCAACCTTCTGGTTAGCAGCCAGATGCCTTAGGCACTGTGCTACCAGAGCTCTTTTAACATCAGTAAAGTATCCCACAAACACAGCATTTGTATTTTTGTATTAATCTTTGACCCCCAAACCCATCCTTCCTTTTCCTACTAGCCATATTTTCAACTGTCTCATTGGAGTGAAAAGGTTTCGATTATGTCTGCCTCCTTCTCCAATAGACATATTCCCTACAGTATAATACAAAGTTCAGTATATGTCTGATCAAGTAAAATCTCACACTACCGTGTCCTTCCTACAAAATTTATAAACTTACACATTATAACAGCTGTTTTTTGTTTTGTTTTTAATTTACACTAAGACTTAAGAATTCGTCCCAAAATAGCTGATATTAACAAGGATACTTGGGAGAAATGGAGGTGGGAGTAAGGAAAAAAAAAAAAAAAAAAGGAAAAAAAAAAAAAAAGATCAGAATGAAGAAACAATTTAGCACATAGTTTCCATTTCCACCTTTGTGCCAAGAGAATTTAAATGGAAAAGAAAAAAAAAAAAATGGAGACAGAATTTATAGCTTAGGATAAACCATAAAGAAAACAAAAGATGCTAAATTTGCAAATTGTGCGTTTTATCTTTATTTTTTAATAATGTTTAAATGATTTTTTTTTTTTCTTAAATCCATAATCTTTCGCTTTATCCTGGAGCAGCTGGATCTCAATTCATCCAGGATCCACTGTTCCTCCATACATACATACATAACATACATACATAACATACATACATACATACACACACACACACACACAGAGCGGTACCACTATGAGTCCCTGCGCCAAACCAATCATCACGGGAAAATTAAACCATGAGGTTCATCTTCCTAATTCCCTGAAGAACAGTCACAACCCTTATTCTGTCAAGAAAATTACCACTCTAACGGGATTTGGAGAGGGGGTGAAAGAAGACAGCTCATTATCACGCAGCTTCCCATTCTCCATAGGGAGAAAAATGGCAACAACTTCGAACAAGAGACAACTGCTCTTCTAACGTATCTCAGTTAGACCTAGGGGGTAAAAAAAAAATGGTCTGCTGAGACATTCACAGAAACAGAAAACCAAAGTACTTTACATAGCAGCAGAACAGCCCCTTCATACCCCTCCAGAGCGTGGGGGCTGAGGGTGAGCTACCATTCCCCTCCACACCACCCCACACCGGGAGGGGAATTTTGACAAATAGAAAACGCCACTCTCCACCTCCCTCGCCAGTCGGTACACTGACCCGCATCGAGTGCGGGGGCGGGCGAGGACAGGAGAAGAGAGGAGGCGGGGACACGACACAAGGACCGCACCGAAGACTGATTCACGGTTTTTAAAAACGTTTTAAAGCTACAAAATCCTCCTGTCCGAGGATTTCCACCCACTCTCCATCCTAGCCCTCACCCTGCATCCTCAATCGGAAACTCAACCTGTTCCGGTCGCCCCCGGGGGCATCGCTTCCCACTCCCTCAGGAACGCGGCCCCCGACCCGGGGGTCCTCTGCACGGCCCTCACTGCCCCAGGCCCCAAGCGCACAGGCCCAGGAATGCATCGCACCTGGATGTAGTTGTTCTCGCAGTAATCGGCCACCCGTTCCAGATTCGTGTAACTGTCGAAGAGGGCCCGGCGGCCCCCCGGGATTTCCTCCTCCAGCAGCATCTGCAGCTCCGCCATCTTCACATCCTCCTCTTCCACCTCATATAGACCGCAGAGGTAACTGAGGCAGCAGTGCCAGGGAAACCCAAGACTGGGAGAGGAGGAGCCGCAGCGGCGGCCTCGGCAACCGGGAGGAGCGAGAAACACCCCCGCGCGCTACAGGGGAAGGGGCGACGAGGACGGGGGCGGGGCGCGAGCCGACGGACCGCGAGAACGGTCACCGCGGCGACTGCCTGCCGGACACGCGCACGCGCGCTCCCCTCCCTCCGCCCCCGGGAGCCCGAGAAAGATTCCCACTCTCAGCCGCCCCTCCCGCCCTACCCCCACTTCCGGCGTCTCCTAGCGACGGCGGGGTGGGGGCCGGGAGGCGAACTAGAGCCTGGCGCGTGGTTAACCCTTCGGCCCCCCGCAGGTTGCACAGCACTGGTAGTCTGCTCCGCGGCCTTTGTTAGCCGGGCAAGGAGGCGCTGTCCCCCTCTTCTGTAGTCCCGCAGTCGTCTTCTGCGACTTTCGGCGTTATTCTCACTCTGGGTCCGAATCCCTGTGAAGGTCGTCGGCCTGAGGAGCCTCTCAAGGCCTTTCTCTGCTCCTGATGGGAGTTCGAGGAGTCCATCTGTGAAAGATCCCACCTCATCCAAGGCTGAGATAAAGCTCACAAAACTTCCTTGCAGCTTTAAGTGCTGCCTCAGTTTTCATTTTTCTCTTCATCTTTGAGTTCATCCGTTTTGATGCAGATAAGTAAATTCCAGTTTCTTAATCCCAAATTACCTGCACTCCAGTTTTACTGCATGTATTTGTCCCTCAGGCTGTTCTTTCTCGTTTAACCGTCCTCTGGATCTCAGCTTTTTATGTTTGCCCTCTTCTATGTTTCTTTCCCTTGCTGACAACCAGTTCTGTCATTTCTCTTGTTTTGTCAACTTCACTGGCTTTTTCTTCGTGGATGCCGTGTTTCAAATTCTGAAAACGGTTTTGCTGGTACTACTTCTCTTCCTCACAGGGCTGTTTCATGGATAAAATAAAAGGTTATGTTAAAGCACCTTGAAAAGTGAAATGCTAGAGAAATTGAAAGTAAGTAGTTTTGATTTTGCAGTTATTATATTATTCTCCAGATATTCAATTTGTGTGTATCTTTTTTCCCAAAACTAAGTACCCATGACATTTTCATTCTTCAATAAGTAAAATTCAAGACCAGTATTGAGCTAAGTCCATGACTTTTATTTGTACTGTAGAAAGTCATTGCTTGACTTCGGTTGTACCATGTAAGACATTTGTCGTTTAGAACAGGATCCCTTATTTAAACTCTTGTTCTTTTGATCTGTTGGCCCTCCCACAGTTATTTTTTATATGTGCTTTTTCAGATGATGAGGAAACTATATTATACATTCTTTAAAAAAAAAAAAAAATATATATATATATATATATCTTAATACCCTATCATTACAAAAATTGTGGGGAAATTCCTGTTATTTACTGGTTTTATGGTATGTACATTAACACTGAATGAGTTTTCAATGTAGAACCCAAACTAGAGTATATTGAAAATGTTTGTCTATTCCAACTAGTTTTATACTTAAGCACTTTATTCCCACTTAGCATCCTTTCAAAGAATATCTTCTGTATTGTTGTTGTTGGGAGCTCTGGTAGCATAGTGGCTAAGACACTTGACTGCTAACCAGAGGGCTGGTGGTTCAAACCCACCAGCCACTCCTCGGAAGGAAGATGGGGCAATCTACTTCCGTATTGATACTGCTTCGGAAACCCAAGGAGGGGTGCTATGAGTCGGGTTCAACTCGACGGCACATAAAAACAACATTGTTGTTATGTGCCGTCAAGTCGGCCCCCACTCAGAGCGACCCCTCCTTGGGTTTCCGAGGCAATATCACTACAGAAGTAGGATTGCCCAATTAGTGGTTCCTAAACTTAACTGTGGGAGCTCTGGTAGCGTAGTGCCTAAGGCACTTGAGTGCTAACCAGAAGGCTGGCGATTCAAACCCACCAGCCACTTCTCCGAAGGAAGATAACGCCTCGGAAACCCAAGGAGGGGTCGCTATGAGTCGGGTCTGACTCAATGGCACATAACAAAAACCACAAGCTTTACTGTGAGGAGCTTGTTAAAAATGAAAGCTGCAGAGTCACACTGTGGTGATTGATGAGACTGAGAGTAGTGATGAAATGGGGTAGTTACTGCAACGGCATATAAACATGTTTCAGGTAGCAAAACGCGAATCATCAAGTGAATAAAACAAACAAACATTAGATCAAGCAAACTTTTCTTTCAGACTAAACTTAGGTGGATTAAAACTTTGCTGTTGAACTAAGCCCAGCAGGTGAGTTAAGTGGTAGGCCAACTCTTGACTCTTCCCCCACTACTTATTCCCACTTAGCATCCTTTCAAATAACCAAAAAAAAAAAAAAAAAAGACTGTCAAGTCAAATCCAATGTATAGCCAGCCACCCTATAGGACAGAGTAGAACTGCCCCATAGGGTTTCTAAGGCTGTAAATAATTATGGAAACTGATGGCCACATCTTTCTCCTGCGGAACAGATGGCAGGTTTGAACTGCCAATCTGGTTAGCCTTGGAGCCCTTAACCTCTGTGCCAACAGAATTCCCTCAGGGATGATTCATCAGCCCCGGAATAACTGGGAGGGCAAGGAAGCCAACTCTAATACTCTTTCTAATTTGTGATAAATAATTTCTTTGGACATTTATTTTCTTAGCTGGGGGAGAAAAAAAAGGTTAAACTCCAGTTGCTAGTTCTCAAACTGGAACAGGCATCAGATCACCTGGAGGGCTTGTGGAAACACAAATTGCTGGGCTCCACCCCCAAAATATTTGATCAGTTGGTGTGGTCCAGTGTATATTTCTAACAAGTGTACTGGGAGTCTCTGAGTGGTGCAAATGGGTAACATGCTCAGCTGCTAACCAAAGGGTTGGAAGTTCAAATACAACCTCAGAAGGCAGGTCTGTCAATCTACTCAGAAAAATCAGTCATTGAAAACCCTATGCAGCACAGTTCTACTTTAACATACATGTGGTCACCATGATTTGGAATTAGCTCAACAGCAGCTGGGAACTGGGTCCCAAGTGATGCCAGTGAATCCATATGATGCCAGTGAGACTGCCCTTTTCCTTCTGAAGGTATGTGATTCTAGTTGCTAGCAGCTGGGAATCTCCACCAAGAAAGGAACTAGAAACTCCAACATTATTTGGTTAGCAGCTGAGCTTGTTAACCATTGGCACCACCCAGGGACTCATCTTTTTTCACTCAACTGGTTAAGTATTTTTCACTAATAACAAAGCTGTCTTCTGTTTAACAACAAGGAGCTTTTCATTTTAGGCTCAATACAGGTCAAACAAAAGTCCAATTTCAGTATAACCATAATATATGGAATGACATCCCCTGATCTTGGAAAGCTCAGAATGTTCACGTAGTCATTCCTCAAGTAAATACAGCGCATATGTATTATACAGAAAGGACCAGGAAAGCAATGCTAAAGGCATACTCTAGAGGCAATCCAAGTAGGAGATGATGATGATTTTCACAGAAGAGAAAGTTTGAAATATTGAAGTTGTTGTTATGTGCCATCGAGTCAGACCCGATTCATAGGACCCCTCCCTTGGGTTTCTGAGGCGGTATCATTATGGAATTAGATTGCCCAGCCTTCCTTCTGAGGAGGGCTGGTGGGTTTGAACCGCCACCCTTCTGGTTAGCATTGAAGTTAAATGTTAATATTTTTTCATTGTTGTTAGGTGCCGTTAAGTCGCTTCCGACTCATAGTGATCTTAATGAAACGCTGCCCGGTCCTCTGCCAGCCTCATGATCCTTGCTATACCTGAGCCCATCATTGCAGCCACTGTGTCAATCCATCTTGTTGAGGGCCTTCCCCTTTTGCACTGACCCTCCACTTTATCAAGCATGGTATCCTTCTCCCGGGAATGGTCCCTTCTGACAACATGACCAAAGTAGGTGAGACAAAGTCTGGCCATTCTCACTTGCAAGGAGCATTCTGGCTGCACTTCTTCCAGGAAAGATATGTTCTTTTGGAAGTCCATGGTACTTTCAGTATTCTTCACCAACACCACAACTCAAAAGCATCAACTCTTCTTTGGTCTTCCTTATTCATTGTCCAGCTCTCACACGCATGTGAGGCATTTGAAAATACCATGGCTTGGGTTAGACGTACCTTAGTCTTCAAGGAGACATTTTTGCCCTTCAGCACTTGAAAGAGATCTTTTTGTAGCATATTTGCCCAATGCAATACATCTTCTGATGTCTTGACTGTTGCTTCCATTGGCGCTGATTGTAGAACCAAGTAATATGAAGTCTTTGACAACTTCAATCTTTCCTCCATTTATTGTGATGCTGCTTATTGGTCCAGTTGTAAGGATTTTTGTTTTCTTTTTATTGAGGTGTAATCCATACTGCAGACAATAGTTATCAATCTTCATCAGTAAGTGCTTCAAGTCATCCTCACTTTCAGCAAGCAAAGTTGTGTCGTCTTCATCTCAGGTGGTTGATAAGCCTTCCTCCAGTCCTGATGCCACATTCTTCTTCATATAATTCAGCTTCTCAGATTATTTGCTCAGCATACAGATTGCCTAAGTATGGTGAAAGGATACAACCCTGACACATTCCCTTCCTTATTTTAAACTATGCAGTGTCCCTTTTTCTGTTCAAATGACAGCTTCCTGGTCTATGTACAGGTTCCTCATGAGCACAATTAAGTGTTCTGGAATTCCCATTCTTCTCAATGTTATCCATAATGTATTATGATCAAATCGTTTTGCATAGTCAATAAAACACAAGTAAACATCTTTCTGATATTCTTTGCTTTCAGCCAAGATCCATCTGACATCAGCAATGATATCTCTTGTGCCACATCCTCTTCTGAATCCAGCTTGCATTTCTGGAGAAAATAAAGGTATGTTAAAGCACCTTGATGATTGAATGTGGAAATTAAAGGGATATTTCACTGCTAGTAGACAGGTTTTTGGCTTGGGCAACTGAGTAGTTAGTAGTGCTATTTATATATAAATAATATTCTACCAAAAAAAAAGAAAACCTCACTGCTGTTGAATTGACTTAATTCATTGCGACCCCTCCTTGGGTTTCTGAGGTGGAATC